TGGTTAGAACGTTGGACTTTTAGCTAACAAGGTCGTGGGTTCGAAGCTTGAGCAGGGCAACACTTGAGTTGAATATTACTAGCTGACGACGGCTAATAAGCCAGAAATGGCCATCCTAGTCTAGGAGCATTACAGGGGGGTAACTATTCTGGTTACGAAGCATTTTATGTTCCGTTATGCCCTGTGCAACCGCATAGTGACTTGTACGATAGGATGAAGCGACACCAAAAACTATACGGGAGACCGGAATGGCCATTTATGGCTTATTAGCCATCATCAGCCGGTCATACCCAATCTCAGGTATGGATCACCCGCCATTCGAACCCACGATGTCTGGCCATTGAGCGAACCACATGCTCACCGTTTTCGTCGGCTGGGATCGAGAATATGATAGATGCTAGGGGACACGTTAAAAAGGAAATTGCACTCGTTCCCATAGACTTCACAAACTTCTGACGTCACCCTCTCCCCTCTCCTTTAAAATTATAATTCTGACCAACACTGCTCGACACAGTTTTCGCACTTCATTAAAAATTCAATAAAATTCCATTCAATCTTGTTTTTCCATCGAAATTTGAGGTCTTCTGGTTCCCTCCTGAACACAAGGAAATAACCTCTGTCCTAGCTGTGGACGGAGGCAAACATTTATTCAAAGATTAATTAAGTAGTCTGGACGCGGGCTGAAGATAGGGTAAACAGCTTGGGCAGGACTTTGTCTTTTGCCTTGGAGACGAAGGAAGTCTCCTCGAGGTCCATATGTTGACATTCCGACGTTGGCAGTGCACCGCCAACAGTCCCTAAGATGGTAAACAATTTCTCATTGACTTTGACACAAACACAACAGTTTTTTTCATCGTACCCCCAACGAGGGCTAAAATACCAGGCGGAGGTGGGGGGGAGTGATGAATGAAATTTGAATCTGATTACCCGTGCCCTTTGCGTTCACCTTTCAACAGGATTCAAGCCCATCTTTAGCACGTTGAAGCCCTGCGCGCAGTACCGTGTACCCAATGATGATGATGATAATGAAGACCAAGTTAACTGTCGTCGTCTTGTCCACAGAAAGTACACAGCGACGACTTTATTATTTTTATCATATTAAAATAGACATAGATGTACATCGACCTACCTCTATTCGATCATATTTTTCAGACAAAACCATGTCAGGCCTATCGGGGATAGCGCGAGGCTTTCATCACCTTTATCCGCATCACCCACGTGCTAGCGCATAAACTCACTTGAACTTGCGTTTTGGATCTTGTGTTCGCGAAGTGTCATTTCAGCCTTACCCTCGGTCCTGAGTACGACCATATTTTGTGCCATCCGTTGACGATTTTCGAACTAAACAGCAAGGGGGATTGGAATGTGGCCGTTTCTGGCTTATTAGCTCTCGTCAACCAGTCATACCCAATCCCAAGCAGTGCAGCGCCCGAGGATCCAACTCACGAATCTGTGTGCCACGAGCTCGTTGTCTTGCTGGTTTAGATCGGGAGATATTGTCACACTCGTTGACGAAAGTTCACGGATCGCTACTGGAACGCACTCGTCGCGTTCTGCCTTGAGACTCATTATTGAGCCCCAGTAGCAGTCGCGCACAGCGGTTAGTAGTCTAGGCAGATAGTAATGCTGCGATCGTGACTGCTCTAGCCAGCCTCGATGATGACCCGAATAGTACTTCTCTACGCATGAAAATCCGTGGCAGCTGACCTGGACAGCTCAATCCATTCTCTTCGCCAACGCCGGAAGCCGAATACCAGAGGACGAAGAATCACTTCCGTGTCTTGACGGAATTAATCGAGCCAGGTTTTGAGCTGACCTCCTCTTCGGCGTCTTCAATCGGAGTAACGATGTGGGATCAAGAGTAGTAACACTGAGATCGTGAGCCTGACAACGAAGAACGTGTCCAAGCCACTTGAGGCGTCTTTCGGGGATGGCCTGGGATATCCTTGGGATGTTGTCGCAGCGGGTGCGGCTACATAGAAAGTAGACACTAACACTGTCATCAAGGACCCTTAACTGAGTCCCAAGGTGAAACGGGCTAACCATGTGCAGTTCCTTGAGCGGCGAAAACAATCCCGTCCGACAAGAGATAGGGTCCGTGTCTCAATGCTAGAGCCTTGAACTACTCAACCCTTAATGAGTAAACAATTTGAGTTTGAACCTCAGCGTCCACAAATCTGGGATAACGTATGGCTGGCAATGATGAGTAAATCAGAGATGACCATCGCAGTCTCTCTTTACTGGTCGACATATGACCGTTCGCAAGAACCCTAGATTGAGCCGCAAGACATAACGGCACGAGACGTTTCAGTAAACTAATCGCAAACAATCTACTGAAAATGATTGAGGTGGGCAGCTACGATAGGTAATAAACCCTTGCTTCTAAAAGAATTATCACTGCCTTCGCAATCTTGTCAAGTATCTGGTGATTTTTATGGTTATCTCACCATTTCATGATTCTGTCCTAATTTTCGGATTCGCGGCTTTGGTTGCCTGAGTAGCGACGACAGAAGGAGATTGACCACCTCCATCCGGAAAGTGACAACCCCCAACACCATCCAAACCTCACTGTTGAAGGCCGTTCACAGTACCAGCAAAACTAACTCCCCAAACAGTGTCACATCATAAAAAAGCACGAATTCCTGGAGTCGAAATTTCCTACTAAAAGCCCTGAATCATTTACGTGTCATCCTGAGAATTAAATTTGGGACCAGGTCTGGTGAGGATGACTTGTTACGAGAACAGGTACTGCTCGTAATTGCATATGGCTTTGCACCGAAACTTAGGTTTAGGATCAAGGTTCTTGTTATGTGTTCTTGTTATGGTTAGATTTAAGTTGGGAGAAGTTGGGGCTAAGGATGGCTTATGATTATCACCGAAGTACCGCATCACTCCAGAATTCCGTAATAGTAGACCTATAGTAACGTAATCGATATTTCTCTTGCATGCAGCGATAGGAAATAAAAATAGCCACTGAGTCTACTAGGAACTTGGTGTTACAACTATTGAAAAGGAAGACAAATAGTATTATCTACACAAAAGATACACAAATACTTCGATACAACATAGATATAGTATTTACAAAGTATCTTAGTTCCAACGTCTAGTTCCTGCTTATATATTTGGTTCTATGGATATGCCACCTTTAAATTCGAAGAGAAAAGTTTTAAATTTACCATTGGTCCCGTAAAACAGACAGCCAGGGTTAGGTGATGCTTCGGTGATACCTATAATCTATCCTAACTGGGTTTCATGATTATATCGAGGGTTAAGGTTTAGGGTTGAGTCAACTGTAGACTTTAGTTTTCTGCGGGGGATAGGGGCGAGACCAAGGCTGTAGTTCAGTCTTTTGTTAAATGACTGTTAAGGTAAAGACACAAAAATACTGTACGGCCTAGAATTTGTGCAACATGCCGACATATGTGACAGACTGAAACTCTTTCGCTAATTGGCATTGAGTGAGGTTGTACTGCTGATTATCGTGTGGCCTATTCTGAAGTCACTTCAGTCACGATAAGATGCCGGCATTTTAACGAGCTTCTTTCTGACCGCTAACAAAACGTGTGTACTGTAAACCATGGCTACTTAAGTAGTATGCGTATTTATAATTGATTTTGACTGCCTTTATGGATTCCAATACATTTTGTCGAAAACAAAAGCGAAAAAATTATTTCTTGTGGTCGGTTGATAAAAAAATTACAGCCCTTTAAATTTTAAACTTAAAGTAAGGGTATTATTCGATTATAAGAAAGTTTCTAATTATGAGTTTTTTTGCAATTGCGATGTGTTCATGCAATTTATTAATGCTAACATAATTTAGACGGTATATTCCACATCTATTGCAATATTCTATGATGACTATATGTCTTTTTCCTCAAAAAGTAGGCGAAAACGTACTTTTCCTTAAACGGCATGTACACAGCAGTCAGTTTGTAAATCTCGAATTGGAGGGTAGGAGTCAGTAGGTTTAAAAATTATTCGGCAATTTAGAAACATTTTTATAAACGAAAGATGCTCTTTCTTTAAGTATAAAATTTAAAGAAGGCGCAATTTGCTACCAAATGAGTGTATGTTTTCCATAAAATATATTTGAATTTATAAATACAGTCAACATCAATGATAAAAATGCATACTACTCGAGTAGCCATATTTACGGTACATAATATTTTTTAGCCATCAGAAATAAGCTCGTTAAAAAGCCGGCACCCTATCGTGACTGAAATCACTTCAGAATAGACTACACAGTATTTAGTATTATAACCCTTCTCAACGCCAACTATCGAGGGAGTATAAATCTTTCGTAAATGTCGGCATGTTACACGAATTCTAGGCCATGCTATACTTACCCTTCCTTAAATTAATCGCTAGACAACCTTTTTCAAGTGGGCGAGACGTTCTTTTGTTCCATTTAGGCGGCCATGTGAATCATCTTTACTATTTTCCGGGGAAAATAAAAAGCGTCTTATGGAAATGAGGGTTTAGTATTGCAGAAAGCATCGCAGTTGCATCATGCTGTGTTGAACAATCGGCAAAAGGCCTATGCAGCGACTGCTTGTTGGCAGCTCAAATCCCTGCCGGACTATTCCCCGCAACTTTCGATAGAAAGCTAAAAAACGTCCTTGGCTCCTGCAAATTTCCTCCAGTTTTGCAAATTAATTTCCGTCGAAATTTAAACAGCCAAAGCTAAACGTTTACCCCACGAAAGTGAGTGGAAACCATGGTAGCGGAGACTTCAGAGCGATAGTTATGTTTCACTTTCGTTGATACGGTTGCTTGGAGTTGGTGACGGAGGGACAGAGGTCAGCTGGCCAATCACCATCGAAGTTTGGTTCCTACGCCCACTTTTGCCAACCCCAACTCAGAAATGAGCCCTAATTATTTAACTGGCAACTGCGCAGCCCAAAATCTGAGGCTAATAGTTGAGGTTTTTTGTTAAAAGGAATCGCGAGATCGGAGTGCAAAATCTAATTCAGTAGAAGTCGTCGTTTTAGTCTGACTGGTTTGTGTAAAGGCGTAGTTTAGCGCCTTCACTGTATACATTCGTTTGATAAACAAGAGGCTAGAATGTCTAATTAAGGCACCCAATGGCCGAAGTAATTTTCATTTCTTTTCTTCCGGCAAAAGTAGTTTAAGTAGTACACCTCATATACCCTTAGTCCCAGCATTTCGTCCCAGGGAAATGGTGGTTATAAGCTTTTGGCGGGGGGTGGGTAAATAGGATTGGTGGAGAACGAAATTTTTTGAAGTGCTAAGTGAAAAAATTCAGTCAAAGTTGCTTCCCGCGGCCGCTGGGAGTAAGTTCTTCCGCATGTAAATTGAAGGTGTGTGGAGCTTCGCACCGCGAACTATACTAGTCTAACTTCAGAACTGAATGTTGCACCTCAGGTTAAGTGAAGTAGACGACCTCCTAACCACAATTTCAATTTTTCAGGAAATTCAAGAA